TGGTCATGGACCAATCGGTGCGACGCAGGTCAAGTAGCTATACATTACATCATGACTTTGCTTGCGGCGATCTCGCAAAGTTAGTTTGTTTAAAGTTCACTCTGTCAACCGTCAAGAGTCAAAAGTGAAGTTTCCAGTTAAAGTTGAAATGAAGGTGGCACCAGTCAACTATTGCGTTCCCACATGTTCACAGGTGCTTCTCTCAGCCTCTCAGATCTCGCACGCGTACACCCGGTGCACCATAGGAGGCACCGCGGTGCTTATGGCAAGCCACCAAAGGAAAGGGCCCCCCGAACACCAGGGCTTGTTGCAGAAGGGCGGTAAAAGAGTGGCAGTGACTGACATTGAGACTGACATCATCCTCAGGAATCGGCGGGCTTGTGCCCTGAACAATCGTGGCCAACTTCATAGACACACGCTGCTTAAGCTGCTTAACTGACTGGGGCCTGAACGCACAGTGCGCAAGCTTCCTATTTGACCATATTTGGCCAGCGCAGAGACTTGCGGGCGCGTGTCAAACTCATATCAATCCGATCCTGATCTGATGTCCAAAGACAAACTGGGCCAAAACTGCTATTGGCGCTGAGGGTGAGTCAGGCTCATGATTGATCCATCACGCGACGATTCCTGATTCATGTCTTTTCTTCCTGACTTATGGCTGATATATAAATAACCTGCTACGGCCACAAATTGCTAAAAGGCAAATATACTCTGATGAGATGATGACACTCATGGGTGGAGCAGCCCCAACTTGTGACTTGCTTGAATCATTCGACTTGCGCTTGCAACTGGTAATGCTGGTTGGAACCTGCAACTTGAAACACATGTCACTCCATCTTTGGATGAGTTTTGCTAGGAGCAACCTTGAACTTGCAACACCTTAAGTGTGAATCCTGTGCTATTTTTCTTCGATCACCAGTGGTCGACTTCTTCTGTCTTTGAGCTCGAGCCATGCCCTCATCTTGCGTCGGTCTTGTTACTGTTTGCGTATAGCGCCGGCTCCGACCAACTCTTCAAAACCAAGCAAACGCCCTGAACCAGCTTGAGACTCTTGGATTCGCGCGCGCCGCCGCTCACTGCTCGCGCGTCGCTGGCTCGTTGCACGCTCGCCGCGCGCATTCCGCGCGTGCCGCCGCGCACCGCTCGCGCGCTGCTCGCTCATTGCGCGCTCACCGCGCGCACGCCGCGCGCACGCCGCGCGTACACTGCGCATAGCGCGCGCGCGTGACCGCGCGCCCTCGCCGCTACTGTTTTTTAAGGCCTGTCATAGCATGACTCTCGGGTTTAGATATATTAAATGTATCAAAATAAATAGGGTCATCTTTGGTATGTTGTATTTTCAATTTATTTTTGATATAGTCTTTGACGCTATCCCAGTTATTATCTAAATGTATTGTTGGACTAAAAATAAATATTTTTCAAAATTATCACGGTATATATCTAATAATAAATTCGTTAAGACTACGGTTTTCCCAACACCTGATGGAGCTGCCAATATCTGCCGTGCTGGTAGTTGTCCTACATGTTCATATTTTGATTGTTTGCTATTGTATTCCTTAGTTTTATATGGTTTAATATCAATCATAAAAACAATATTAAAGATATTTAGAAAAAAATATATATTTAATATTAAATGGAACATTGTTTTATGATATGATTGGTGGCGAATATCATAAAATGGAACAGGTTTTCCATTGCTTCAATCAATAAGCATTGAACGATAATTAGTTTGAATTAGTTTGAACCTCGCTTGCGTTGTCCAGTGCAATGACAACTCCAAGTGCTGTGCCCCACCAATATTCTATTATGCATGAAAATAATAAGATTAAATAATTATTTCATCTTATTATTTATATGAATAGGAGTTATTCAGATTATATTAATATAATAGATGAAGTGGAGAATATAGAACAAGTAATAATAACTGATAATAGATGTAAGAAAGTATGCTATTATTCATTAGAATTAATTAAGTTAGGAATTCAATATATCAAAATCAAAATGTAAATATTAATATAAATGGGAAGAAAGAAAATCAAAAAGAATAAGACAGAGACTACAGTTTCTTCAACAGATGAAGATAGCGGAGAAATTGTTAAAGAAACAGCTGTTATTGAGGTTGCTTGTCCTATGTGCAAAAAGATGTTAGAAATGAAAAATGAATTAGAAATACAAAAGAAAGGACATTGTAAATGTTCATGTATTCCAACAAGTTTCAAAATTAGTAAAAATGATAAGAAAATGAATATTGATAAAACTAAAGACAGTATCAACTTAGAAACTAATGCTCATAATATAACTTTTAAATGGGGTAAGGATGCAACACTCTCGGATAATAATGAAAACGAAACGCAGGAAACCATAAGAGAAATGATGAAAAATTAGTATTTAAAGAGTAGATTTAACATAATTGCACTTTAATAATATATTAATAAATATATAAATATTTATATAATCAGAATGCCAACTATGAATGGAAAAGACCATAGAATCATAACTTTCGACGATGAAGAAATTAAAGACATATTCAATGGTGATGTAAACTTTGCTAAACAATTGAGCGAAGAATACTTTTATTGGTTTGATGCTAAATTCAATGATAAATATTTTATGAAAGGTATAACTAAACCAGATAAATTTGGTAAAATATTGATTTTTGTTGAAATTACAGGTGACGAGGAAGGTTTAATACAAATGAAAAATAAAATTGGCGAAAGACTGTTAGAATATAATTTATTTACATATATAACATTAAATTATTCAGGCAAATTGTATAATAAAAACGCATAATTAAATAATTAAATAAATAAATAATTATATAAATATTCATATATAAAAATGTCAGAAAATGGTGATTCTACAAATACCGATTTAATGAAAAAGGTTATAATTATTAGTAAGAATATTAAAACATTAACTGAACGTATTAAGAATATTGATGAAAAAATAAACCAACCTAAAAGCAATAACGTATTCAAGAACGAAGACGATAAGGAGAAGATGGATAAAATCTTTGAAAAAAAGTCAATAGGTAGACCTAAGGGCGACCATCAAACAAAAAGACAACAGTATTATGATATGATAGTTTCAAACAAAATCAAACAACCCAAGGAACAAACATTAGAATATTATAAAATCACGAAAGATGGTGATGAATATAAACTTATGGATTAATATAATAAATATCTAAATCATTCTGATAAATGAATTTATTAGAGATGTTTAGCGGAACAGGCAGTGTTGGACTTATTGCAAAGTCGCTCGGTTTTAATGTAATATCGTTGGATTTGAAAAATGCTGATATTAATTGTGATATTTTGGAATGGGATTATAAACAATTTGACAGAAACCATTTTGATTTTATTTGGGCATCACCCCCTTGCACTGAATACAGTATTGCAAAAACAACAGGAATAACAAACATTGAATATGCTAATAGTATTGTATTAAAAACAATAGAGATTATTGAATATTTCGGATGGCCGTATTTTGTTATTGAAAATCCACAGACTGGATTATTGAAAAGTCAGTCTTTTATGAATAAGTTAAGGTTTAATGACATTGACTATTGTAAATATGGTTTTAATTATCGGAAAAGAACGAGGTTGTGGAATCACATTGATAAATGGAAACCCCGAAGTTTATGTAATAAAGATTGTGGTAAAGTGGTTAATAACAAACATATTGAAACTGCGCAACGGGCACCAAGTGGAAAGCGGGAAAATTGGTGCGAGAATTATGTAAAGCATAAGCAGGAAGATTTATACAAAATACCTGCTGCTTTGATTTGTGAAATTTTGGTGAGTTTGGTGGATTAAGGAAAACGAGTTTGGGGTTGGTGTTGGGGTTGAAATCAAGTTTCAACCCCTTTGGTGGAACCTCTTTCCCCCTTTGGTGGAAACACGTTTATCACTTTTTTAATAGGGTTTCCCCCTTCGGTGGAACCTCTTTCCCTCTTTGGTGGAACCTCTTTCCCCCTTTGGTGGAAGTCTTTATGGTGGAAGTATTATTGTCTTCCTTTTGATGCCGTAGGTGAGTGTTTTGTAATTATCTATTGTATTGTTTGTTGTTTGGTTTTTTGTGTGGTTTGTTGTTTGGTGGGTTTTTTCTATGAGGGTCTTACCCCAAAGCAAAAATATTATTTGTGTCTAAAACTATTTAAAGGGTAGATTGCTTATTATTGTAAGAGATTATGGAAAGGAAATATTGCTCGTGTTGTGGATGTTATAAGGCAAGTGATTTATTTTCAGGAAGTTTCAAAACTTGTCAGAGGTGTCGTGAATTGAAAAAGAAAAAGTCAGAAATAAAGAAATTGAAAAAAGCAGAGGCGAAGCAACAGAAAGAAATAGAAGAAGGATAAAAAACAATACTGTTCGCATTGTAAAGTTCATAGAAAGATTGAGTTATTTTCGGAAAATCATAAAACTTGTGATTTGTGTAGAGAAAAAATGAACATCTACTCACAGACATGGAGAGATAATCATAAGGAAGAGATACGATAAATAAATAAAGATTGTGGCATGAACATATTTGTGTGCTCTGTTTGTGATTGCGAAGTTAGATTGAAACACAAGGCGAGGCATGAACAAACAAAGAAGCATATTGATAATTTAAAAAATAATGAGGTTGAGGAAAATTGAAATGGTTTAAGTTATTCTTGAAAAATGAATAACTTGAAACATTTTATTAATTATTATATGGGTTTTGGTAAGTGGATTGATAAATGCTGTTGGGCGCGCGTGAAATGAGGGAGAGTTTGCTTGTAGGTAAGGACCCTGCTTGCTATTATTGCTGTGGCATGATCAACGAGTTTGTGCTGACTGCCCATCGTGGTCACAATGGGCAGATCTTGATGCAGGATGCACTGGCGGCTTTGCGGTGCCAAGACATGCTGTATAAGGCAGTGAAGCTATGGGTGTGCCATACTGCATATTTTCCGCCTGTGATTCAAATGTCAATTGTGCCCGAATGGAAGTCGCAACAGCTTCCAGCCGCGTGACGTTTTTGCCTGGCCAGCTTCCTCTCCACCACCTGCAGCATGGAGATGTCTGAGTCCTCATCCGCCAGGTCGTTGGCCTCGGGCGAAGGACCGCCATCTCTCTCGCTCCGATCGAATGGACAAGCTGAAATCGTTGGGACGGGGCTCAAGGCTCTGTTTGCCCAAGCAATTCGGGCAAGTTTGCCACAGCTCCGAGAGGAAAACATCACTTTGTGTGACCCATACATTCTATCCGACAAAGTGGTCTTACATGACAACCCGGGGACCAAGCATAGACCAAGAAGAGGGAGGCAACATGCTAAAAGGTCTGCTTTGGGCAGACTTGTATGGATGCTACAGTCCAAGTCGGTGTCCGCATGACAGGCAAAGCACTAAAGTGTGCAGAGCATCTTGGCGGGCTTGCCTCATATTGAGAACCCCGGAGCCGTGAAGCACACCTTGGCATGGCCTACACTCAATGCTGGCGTGCGGCTTATTGTGGGATTGGCAAGCAGAAAGGGGCAACGAGCTGTGTCTGTGCGGAGTTGCACTTGTTTCCACATTGTTCACAAGTAATACGGCCACAAAGACTACTCCCCATGTTGCCAACCTGCACCCTGCTTACCTTTCAAGCTCCGGGCTTTTCAAAGCCCTTTTGGTGAAGGGGTTTGCGTTTTGTATGCCTCAAAAACAGGCAAGGCAAGCAGCGGAGGGCGTTTAGTGGAACTCTTGGGAACCCGTCAACTCGTTGGGATCGGAGCGGCGTTAAGGGCATCGATCTGGGCTTTGAAGTCATGGAGCTCATGCAGCTCCTCGCCTTAGCTGACAAGGACGCTCGAAGAAGGGGATCTCCGTCATCCAAATTGATTGATGAATCTATAGGGAGTAGGGGGGAGTGCTGACCTCTACTATGCATGTACATATATATATATATGTATATATATATATATGTATGCATATGTGTATATTATATATATATATGTGCAAATGTATCCGTTTTGTGTGCATAATCTGTGTTTGGTTGTATGCATTCGCCTTCCATCAGTTTCTTAAGGGAGACCCTTCTGTGGCCCCTGAAAGATTTCATCAAACATGCTTACCCTGGCGAAATGGGCATGTGTTGAATTGACCGCCATAAAGTGAGACAAAACCACATCCTTCATATTGTATGTTTGGGAAGACTGACATTTTGATGAGCTGAGCTCCAACACGTGACATGACTGCCATCATCTGCCCTCCGTGTGTTTCCTGTGCAAAAACTTCAACGACGTCGGCCCGAAGCAAAGGCAAGCCTTATGGGAGTTGCTCAGAAAAATGAAAGAAATCAAGCTGGGAGACTCCAGCTGCCGCGTTGACTAGCCTCACAAACAGTATTTTCGGCTAAGTCGGAGAGATTGAAATTGCTGGGCCAACGTTCACGCAAACATCCTGACATCCTGGGCGGCAGCTTCTTAAAATGTCCGAGGAGCTCACTTGCAATACCGCATCTAATTTCTCCACGTTCCAAATGACGACGATCAAAGACAAGCTGTAGCAAATCATCCTGAGGCAGCTGGCAGTCGGACCTTTCCCACACAGCAACACTCTAGCCCGCAACATTTCTCCTGGCTTGACATGCATGCATGCGCCAGAAAGTTCCTCTTCTTATTCGTTTAAGTTCTGGCCTTCACTTCGCGCAAGTAGCAGTCCTTTACCAAGTGAATAAGCTAGCTTGCCAGATTCTATAAAACGACGCAAACCGCCAGCAAGGGTTGTTGCTCCTCAATATGTGAGATTGTTTTGTAACAACACTGGCATCACAAAGACTGCCTATTTACCATCACCCCACCAAAGGAAACTCACCTAAAACTGACCCACACAGCGACGTGTAAAGCTGGCTTGAAATATATATATATATATATGTATATATATATATATATATATGTGGACCCCTGTGTCACTTAATTGTCCGGCAACCATTGGATGCAAGAAGAGAATTGACTCACTGCCACACATGGCCACAGCTAAATACGGTCAAGGTTCCCAGCCAGCACTGACAGAACTCGCAGAAGCTCGGTGCAGCACATGAAGAAGCTCACAGCTTTGCACTGGTTTCCCTCCCGGAGAAGCGCCCAAACCACGCCTGTCGCAGCCAGGGCAGCAAACCAACTGTTAAGCTTGCTAAGCGAACAGCTCGGGGCAAATTCAACACTCAAGCTGCAAAAGCCTGCGCATCCCACCTTCCAGCAGGTTTCTTGGTGTAACTCATTCTACCACGCTGGGACCCAAAGAGCCCAGTGAACGAACGCACGCCTTTCCTCTGCCCAATCCCCTCTGCGACACGACCTGCTGTGGGGCCGCACGCCAGCGCCTAACATGTGGAAGTGGAAGATGAAAATGACAACGCTGAAGAGGATGCCCACCAACAGGCTTCTGTACAAAGGTGAGTCTCTCCTGTTCCAAGGAGCAAGCTGTGGGCAGACATGCACAGTAGTGGTTTAGGAAAGGCAACAAGCAAATTTGACAGAACAATGCTACTCCGCCAAGTGTCAGGTGCATGACAACCTTAGCTGGTCATCTTGCTGGCGTTTTGCAACTTGGGCAAGCGCATGTATGTGTGTGTGTGCTCATGCCAAAAAATGGCTTTGGCGCAAACAGGCACGAAACGTGGAGGCGGCCACAAACTCAGAACGTTCAGCGAACCTCCCCCCCCCGCCTACCTCCCTCCACTTTCAACAGGTGCGCCATGACTCATCTATTTTTCGGCCGCCCTCCGAATCAAAGTGAATAATTGAGCTGGCCGCATCAAAGTGTTATTCCACAACAAAACACCCCAGGATCCAGCTGCGACTGAACATGTAGCATATGCCTCAGTGTCCCGCATTCGGCAACACTAAGAAGGCATAGCTGTCACCTTGCTGGTATCCATCGGCGGTCCTTCCAAAAACCATCCCAAAAGCTGGGGGTGAAATGTTCCCCGTACAAACTCAGACAAGGGCACAACACTACCTAAACAGGGTACCATCAAAAAACAACACATGCCAAACCCAGGAGAAAGGGCTGGCATTTGCAAAAACACCGATGACTGAAATGAATGGAGAATCACCCCCTCGAAGCATACAAGTTGGTCGATACACAACAAAGAATATATCCTAAATGTAATGGATGATTCCCTTGGTGCCCTTTTTGGAAAACCCTGAAACAGGTACAATCACAATTGACACCTAGAAATGGGCGGGGCTCGTCTGCCAGGTGGCCGTCTTCATCTGCCCCACCGGCGTTTTGGGGGTCCCACAGACCGACACCCCGCGCAGCACATCTGCCCGTGGGTCCCGCCGGCTCTGCATCGGCTCCTGGGATCTCAAGACATGGGCCATTGGATGCCAGGCACCATCCTTGCATCCCAAGCAAAGCATGCAACATATTTGCACATGTATATGCAATATATATCTATATATATATATATATATATATGAACTAAGTACAAGAAATATGCCGTCCAAATATATATATATATATGATTTATTAGACGTGTTATACAGACTCTGCAAACTGACAATTTAGGGTCTCATAGCGAGGGCCCTGCAGTCTTTCCGAGTGTCGGACTGAGCCTAGGGAGCTTGTTGGGACAGTTTGAAGGGAAACCGTTTGAGGGGTGGTGTTAAAGCGCTATTTGCAGGGGTAGCTTTTGCTCCATCTCGGGGGGTGTAACAAAGCATAGCTATGTGGCCATCACACATTTAGCCAAAAGTGGGAGCAGCAGCTCGGAAATTGTCAGGTGTGCCTTATTTGCTCAGCGCGAATATGGACACATGGTTGCTCGCAAGATGGTCGGAAACTGGCTCATGCAAAGAAAAACGAAGAATACACCACCTAAATGCTTGCCGGGACCCTTGTAGTTTGGTCGTGTTTAGTTGGTTTGGAGCTGGGACAAACTGACCTCGACATCAACTAGTCAACTGGGCCAAAGCGCGATCTTCTCGAACCACTTCAGCACGAGCTTCACTGGCTGCAGCACCACAGCCTTTCCGACGGAACGGGCCGAAGCAACAAATTGCGTTTGCAAGCTGCAAGCGCGAAGGTCAAGTTAACTTTCTCGACACACATGCCGGAAGACAAACTGGTGTTTGTTGTTGTCCTTCTTTTGTTCCCGCCGTAATTGGCGCGTTCACAAAAAGCTGAAGAACCTGTGTCTCGACTTCCTTCAAACAATTTCAGAGCGGCGCGTTTAAGTTTGTTGGGACAAATGCGTCTCAACCCTCCTGAGCAATGTTTTTTGGTTGTGTGGGTCGTTGTCGTTTTTAACTTGCTTGCGCGGCCTACGCGAAACGCAACAGTCCCACAAAAATGCCTACGCGAGACAGAGCTGACTAGATAGCTGCCTACGCCGCCTACACGGCAGTGAGGAGTTCGGCTACGGGACGAAACGGAGGTGAGCCACCAACGGCCTCTGGTCAAATTTGGGAAGAAGTGCCTGCGTGAAGCCTCCGCAAAGCCTACGCGGCGCCTACGCGAAATCCGCCTGCTTTGTTTGGAAATCCGAGATATGCTGTTACCTATGAGCACAGCTGGTATACTAGCAGAAGCGCCGCAATACGAGTTGCCAGCTGCGCTGCCCAAAAAACGATCCTTCTCCTCCCTCCGCCAGCAACCGCCAGCTTGCTCTGTCATTCTGCAAACAGCTGGCTAAAAACTGCTGCTCGCGGCTTGCGCCCGACTGCCACTCACAAACGGTCACACTGCCATGTCTTGCATAACAACCATGCTCAACACGAGCCTCCGCGAAATGCCTACGCGCACCTTCAACGATGTGGCCCTGTCAGGGCCTACGCGATATGTAACAAATGCCGCCGCGAAGATGTGGGTCTTCATCCAGAAAAACTAGAGGACGATTGGCCCGAAAGCATTTTTCCACAGGCGCTCATCCAGCTGCAGAGGCACCTTTTTACATCGCTGCGGCGAGCGTGTCTGCGCGCGGCGATGCTCAGTGTGTATGGTCACATGAGAGCTCCATCTCATCATCCTACTTTCCTCTCGAACTGCGCCGTGCGACTTCTCACGAAAGTGGTCTGCGCAAGCTGCATTGTTCCAGGCTGCTGCGCGCAAGTTGCTCTCTGCAAGCTGCTGCGCGCAAGTGCTCTGTGCAAGTTGCTCTGCGCAAGTGCTCTGAGCAAGTTGCTCTGCGCAAGTGCTCTGCGCCAGTTGCTCCGCGCAAGCGCTTTGCGCATGTGCTCTGCGCAAGTTGGTCTGTGCAAGTTGCTCTGCGCCTGCTCTGTGCAAGTTGCTCTGCGCAAGTGCTCTGAGCAAGTTGCTCTGCGCAATGGCTCTGCGCCAGTTGCTCCGTGCAAGCGCTTTGCGCATGTGCTCTGCCTTGACACCCGTCCGATCGCAATTTTGGAGGCCATACCGCTCACGACCTCAATTGCCCCCGGTCGAGGTCATACGGGATTTTCGAGGTCATTGCATTTTCACGATTCTCACGGCCTGCAAATTTGTTAAGATTCTGGCAGCGTCGTAAAATATCAAAAGGGCCTGCAAGGGGCCCTGCGTCATTGCGCGTCGCGAAATCTCAAGGTAAACGTTGCACGAGCAGCAGTAAGCCGGATCCGACGCGTTGTCATACAAAGGCTGCGGCAATAAGCGCCCGGACAAGTTATAGAAATATACCCCCGCTTGGGCTCCGCGTCTTGAAGCCTAGGAGGGGTCGAAGTGACCGGCTTGAGCTGCGCAAAGTTTCTGCGCGCCGCCCCTTCGAAAGCGGGCTTGGCCCGAAAATCGCACTTCCCAGCGCCAAAGATACACTTCCAAAACCCTGGCTCGAAAGTTGCATCTTTTCGTCGTCAACCAAGCGCACTCGAATCACGGCCGCAGCCCGGCTCGAAAGTCGGAACTAGTTCTTTTAGGCGCCAAAGAAGCGCACCAAAAGCACGACCGCGACACCGGCGCGAAAGTCACAACTTTGCAGCGCCGAAGAAGCACACACGGCGCGACCTCGACATCACGTTTCCTTCCTAGGCTGTGACAACAATCGCATCCGGGAGCATGAGCCGGCCATGCTCAGCATCGCACAGCATCACGCAAATGACGCTGCGTGCAAAAGCGTGTGAAAATCTTTCTTTATCTCGAAGGTGTGGTTCGTGGGGGGGAGGGGGCGGGGGCGAGGTTCAGCACGTCCACCGTTTACCCGCTGAGCGCCTTGAAAACGCACACCCCAATGCCTACATATAACCGCTGCGGGCCGAGCGACGCACCACTTAAGTTGCTCTGCAGTGCTGCAAAACACGCTATAGTGGGTGGAGAGAAACCATAGTAGCACCCTCCGCGTAGCGCAAATGGGTCTATTAGGATCCCCCCCAATGTATGGCCGGATATGATTTGCGGAGGCTGCGCTGCTTCTGTTCCGGCGGGCAAGCGTGTCTGGCGATAGACCATGCGGGGCGCACAAATATGAATCACGTCATGCTGCACCGCTCACATGTAGTGCGAAACGCAAGTCGCAACACGCTCATCACACATTGCTTTCAATAAGGGGAGACTAGCCCCACAACCTCTTTTTCTACAGTAGGAAGCCCGTTTGGTTTCTTCTTCAGTCCTTCTTTGACTCAACAAGGGGTGTTCTCTTCACGCATCAGAGAAATTCCTTCAGCCGAATATGAGTTGTTCAGTAGAGACCCTCAATCTTGCGTGTGGAGCCCAGGATGTGCCTTTTCAGCGCCCGTTATGTCGAAGGGGCCTTTGTTGCTAGGAAACTTCGCACTATGGGGAAGCCACATGTGTTTTGCCAGCCCAAACTTGCGGGCCTTTCAAAACATGGGTGCCTTACACTTACGGGACCCGCGTTTTGAAGACCGCTGGGCAAATCACAAGTTTTGAAGACCATTGGGAAAACCACATGTTTGTGATTTCTGGAAACGGCGCGGGTCTGGATTTCCGCCACCGCATAACTTCGACAATTTTTTTTGCAAGCTAGGCGAAAACAGACTGTGATTTCAAAACTTGCCTCGGATCTTCGACTAACGGTTCTGCGGAACCGTTTTGACACTTGTTGAGTTTCCGCGAAAGCTTCGAAGAACCCTTCGAAGATCAATTTTGCGGAGCCCTCCCGAGAAGCTGTTTTGCTCGGTATAGCTGTCCCGGCCCCCCCCCCCTCCCATTTCTGTTTCAGATGTGTGAAGCAAGCCTAAAAACCTTGCAACGTGTTTATACTTGGGGTGCCACTTGACCCTGGGATTCAAAAGGCCTTAAAAAGAAAGGCCTTTACAGAAAGGGCCTTTGTTTATATGGCTGTTGGAATGGGTTCAAGAGTTCAAACATAGCATTGGTGTTGGTGTTTGTCATGGGGGCCTTGTATCTTGAAGTTTGTCGCCGTCCAAAGGGCTTTCTAGCGAGAGAGAGAGAGAGAGAGAGAGAGTGAGATAGGCATCAATCTAACTTAGTTTCATATTGAAGGCTTGGCTAGCTCTGAGCGCGTTGTACTACGGGCCAATATCCTTCTCTATAATGATATGTCGTTTAAATAACATATTCTTCTTGACTGCGAGCAAAGAAACTAGCTTGCCATCTTCAGCAGTTAAGAACGTTAAGGCAAGGCAACTTGGATATATGTATGATGCGGGGTTTGATTGAATTCGCTTCCATCCGTGCTGCGAGCGCCAGGCAAAGGCGAGTGATTAGGTTATAGTAGGCGAAAGCAGTGCCTGAAGAGGAAGCGCTGCTTATGTTTACATGAGCTGCACGTTGGTGCTATATCGGGCTGTGAAACCTGCCAGCCTACCCTTACTGCACTCGTGATTTGTTATTCTGCACCGCAGTGCGTTTTTTTCTTAAAAAAAATACAACGCCCTTCAACGCGGTTCGAGCGACTACAAACCCACCGGCGCAGCGTCATTGGTGCTTGCAACTTTCACTGCTTTGGGAAGGGCCAACGGTTCCTCCACTGCTTGCCGGTTGGGCGTTGCTTGCACGCACTGCGTTAGTTTTTTCCGCGTTTGCAATTGCATCGCCATTTGCAAGGGTGTCCGTCTTTCAGCTGTGTGCCAGCCTGGGGGATCAAAATGGACAACTAATACTTATGATAAGCATATACCTTGCAGTGAACAGACGTGAATGCACGTACGTGAGCCATGTTTGGCAAACAACGCAAGGTCCAGTGTCTAGTTTCAGCCAGAACTTAACGAGCAGGGAGCCAAGCTACGAGTTCACGCCTAAAAATGGCCGTTTACGCCCTAAACAGGCCTTTCACGGTAGTTTCACGCTTGTTTCGCGGTGTTTCACGCTTCCTAGTCCCGAAGGTTGTGGACTGAAATGGACTGAAGATGCCGCTGCGTCCAGGGCGCTGTGTCACATGAGTGGTTGTCTAGACTTGCCCTGCTGGCATGCTTCAACTCGCAAGAAGCATGCGCATTAAAATGTGTGAGCCCACAAAATATGTGACGTAAGCAATTCGCAACAAGAATCGGGCTTGATAAGTGTGCCGCTTTGTGTACAGGCAGTGACCGCAAGTTGAAGGGTCACCAACTGACACACTGACTGCGCGGGCCTTAACATGACACATGATGAATACATGCCACATTCAGCTGTTCTCCTGGCCACAGTCATTTGGGTTGCGAGTCTGCCTGTTTGCTGATTTCAGTTAGTCTTGGGAAGCCAAACGCTGCAAGGAACCTCACAGTTCAAGCCACGGACTAAGCTACTACAGTTGTCACGACACGTGCATTGCTTTGTGTGAAGTGGCGGGCAAGTACGTTTGACTCACGCCACTGGCATTACCAACAAAGTACTATAGTACCAGGCTGGTTGTAATTGAATTTGAACACGAGGTTTGCCATGACCGACCTTTGTCGACACAAAGGGCTGGAATATGCAGTTGTTTAACGTTTGTTTTCTAGGTTGTTTGCTAGGCCGTTCCTATATATATGTATATATATGTATTTGTCCAACGTGCTGGCCCGAGGTTGCAAAACCAATATCCTGCCTTTTTATGCTAACCTTCTTTCACATAGTTGATGCTGTTCCAGAAATTCC